AGTTGGCCATGACTTCACAAAAAGCGCAATTTTTAAGCTTTTTAGTGATATAAGTAACTATAATATCTTTTCTTCGAAAAATTACTGAGTTATAGCCAATTCTTATCATTTTTAAACAATTTCACTTAGTTAGCCATGGACACAAGTTTATCGCCGTTGCTCTCAGAAATGTTAAGCTGTCACATCCAAACTTTGTAAATTATAATAAACAAAAATTGTAAATATGAATTTTTCAAATGAAGAAAAGCGTGTAGATACTCGCGCATCAATAGAGTGGTTCCAACATGACTATCAGTATGACACACCACCCCCACCCTTCATAATGAAAGAAATTTTAAAAATTATTTATATCATAATTATACAAACGCAGGGATAGGAAGAGGTGGACTAATTGCATGGGGCTCCTCGATCACCTGACCTATCCATTTTAGAATTTTTTATGCGGTATAGTTAACAATAAGGTTTACAAAAGAACTTATGAATTAAGAGAGGCATTCGAAGTGGCGGCACGAGAAAAGTTTAATTAAGTCGACCGATCCTTCTGTGAGAATAAGTAGTAATTCAGTTTTAAAAAGATGCATCTCAAAACAATGGCGCATTTTTTGAACATTTTCTAAAATAATTTAAAGTGTATGTAGTGATATTATTTTTTTAAGTTTTAGTTTATGTAATGTAAGGCCGGATTTTCACCAAATCGGACCGACCATAATCGTCCTGATCCAGATCGATTCGATTGTGGTCGTTCTAACCGAAATCGATTGAATGTGTTCATCGGATTGCATCGGGACGATTATGGTCAGATTTATTTTAAAGTGGAGATACCTAGTCTCCTTCAAGATATAAGCACTCACGTATATAAGACGAAGACGCCGCCGTCGTCGCCGGTTTTGGGTACATCCGTACATAGCGGAAAATCAAAACAGAGGTGCTTTTATTTGCGCTCGTGAATTGGCATACCACAACGACAAGTTCAAAGCTATGTACCGTATGTCGAAAGACAACTTTAACCTCCTATATGGAGCCTCCTAGCCTACATGGTGCGGGTGTATATTTCAAGCCACCAAACGAGATACAAATTACACAAAATGTGTGTCAGTGGAAGAAATAACTGCCGACTGCCGACCAAAGACGTTGCAAGCAGCGTCGCGTACGACTAATATCGCCCGATTAAAATCGGTCACGACTGAAATTTTGTCAGTGGACACGTTCCTATTTGCGATTAGGTGCAAGATCTTCGTCGCGCGATCAAAATCTGGACGATTGGGGTCGGTCCGATCTGGTGAGAATCCGGCCTAAATTGTAAAGAACCGTTTAGTAATATATTCTGACTTTTATTTTTAATCATAACAGAATAAGAATACCATGCAATCTAAGTGAAATTAGCCAAGAAAGATAAGAATTGGCTATAACTAAATTTAACTTTTCTAACATGTCTTGAAAACCGTTCTCTAAAAAACCTAACATTCACCGGTCAACGTATCCTCGAAAATGTATGGCCAAGCAAGGTTGAACCAATAATCCTACACGCTTTTCTTCATTTGATAAATTCATATTTAAAATTTTTGTTTATTTTAATTCACAAAGATTGGATGTGACAGCTTCACATTTATGAGAGCAACAACGATTGATTAAACTTGTTTCCATAGCTAACTAAGTGATATTGTTTAAAAATGATAAGAATTGGCTATAACCCAGTAATTTTTCGAAGAAAACATATTATAGCTTATATCACGAAAAAGCTTAAAAAATGGCGCTTTTTATGAAGTCATGGCCAACTATGGTTTTCATTTAAAAAAACATATGTTTGTGTCATATATCAAAATTGACAAGCTTTAGAAAAAAAACGGAGGACACGGTCTCAGGATGTGATTATCTACAACTTTTATCTGAAAACTTTTTGTCTAAAATAGCTTATAATGGAATTAGAGACAATTTTTAAAATAGCCGAAATTTGTTTTTTTCGAAATATCTAGTAAGTCATGAACTTTTTAAAAAATCTGAAAGGCGAATATTTATGACCCCAAAAAACTGCAATTCTTTCCCCATTTAACCGATTCTATCTCCAGTAGTTTCCGAGATACCCATAGAGAACATCGTAGGAAACTCACCCTGTATATTGACAAGATTATATGTATGTTAAATACAGGAAATACCTTATTATCGAAAATAAATTTAATATCTCGTCTCACATAATGTTTCTGGATCATCAGATATTACTAAAATTTGACATATTTTATATTTAAATCAGTTAATATGAAGATAACCGACTAGGTATTAAGGAAAGAAAGGAAATATTCGAGAAAAACTAACTTTTAAAAATATATAAATATATAAATCAGATGAAAAAAATACTCGTATAAAATAAATAATTTAATTAATATGATAGATCTCAAAAAATGCCTTTTAGATGAATATTGGTTTCAAATAATTCTCTTTATAAGTTTTCAAAAAGTATTTAAAGAAACTATTTCTTTTAGGGAGTCCGATTCATTTAATCTTAATAAATGAGTATAGGATACGCATTTCTTGCTTAATTATTCAAAATTTATTCACAAAAATTTCAGAAGAATTTGAGGAAACAATCTAACTTAAAAAAGGCTTGTGGAGAAGAAAATATAGTCTCAATAAAAACCGCTAAAATTATTAATCAATATTGTTTTCAAAAAGGGAAAATATAAAAAAAATATCTACTTAGATTTGAGGGCAAAATCATCATAATAAAAGCCACAATAAAATAATTTTTCTAACTCTAGGGCACTCTTTTCAAACCGGGATCCCGGTGTATATTTAATCTTGAAATCTCGATAATGATACTTGATAAGATAATCAAAAGTCTAATCAAGTAAATGATATTCTTTATGTTTTTGAGAAAAATAAATACATTAAACATTACTCGTATAATTAATATGTTAAATTTTTAAAAGCCTGTTATAACATTTAGTATTGTGACAGATCATTAAAAAACAACTTATTTTGTTTTTAAAACAGTTCGCGATTTCAGTTTCAGAAGATTATAATTTTTTGATAAAATAAAGCTAAAAATTAGGTGTAAAAAAAAGAAAGAAAGTATGAGAAAAAAACTAACTTAAAAAATAATCGGACCAGAAAAAAAATAGTAATATGACAGATCGCTGCTTGTCAGATCAAGATCAATTTTAAATAATACCGTTAACAAGTTTTTTGAAAATCCACTTCACTTAATCTTAAAAATAATTATCATTTCATCTTCACAAGAAAGTTTTTATTATATTCTCCTATATTATTTAAAAATTTTGATGGGCTAAAATTAGATATATTTAATAGAGATAATCAAATAATGTTTAGAAGAAATTGAGGGAACAAACCAACTAGAAAGGAGATTGTAGAGAAGAAAACACAATCTGGATAAAATATAGTCCAAATCTCACCAGAAAATTCTAAAGAAACGATAATAAAATTAATATGAAAATTATTTTAAAAAATGAGTAAAGAAAATTAAAAAATTAAACATTTGTGAACCAAAATCAAGATATAAATAAGAAGTTAAAGAAAGAAAAGAACTGACTAATAAATAGAGATAATTGATAATGAAATAATTTTCTTTTGTAGAGAAGAAAACATAATCTGAATAAAATATCGTCTTAATGCGACCCAATAATACTAAAAAACCGCTAATAAAATTAACATCAAAATTGTTTAAAAAAATGAGTAACGAAAATTAAAAAAAAATACACAATTGTGAACCAAAATCAAGATATAAATAAGAAGTTAAAAAGAAAAAAAAAACAGATTGTAGTAAAGCAAATATAATTTCAATAAAATATAGTCAAAATAATCGCTAAAAATATTAACATCAAAATGTTTTAAAAAAAGATTAAATAAAATCAAAAAAAAAATCTACTTACATTTGAGGACAAAATCATCATATTAAAAGACACAATAAAATAATTGTTCTAACTCTACGGCGCTTACTAAGAACATATTACACAAATCGTTCCGCCGAAATATTTGCAAAAGTGAACACAATATTAATCCAAAAAGAGCATAAGAACTAAACACAAATCTGTACGTCTCAATCCATATTTCAAAAAAAACATTCAACTGCAGAAGGCGATCAAAAGTCTTTCCTAACTCGAAGAGATCATGTTATTTTTCATGAGTGTTTGCTTAACTTGAACAGCTGAAGATGATAAAAAGTCATTTTAATGCAAGTAAATTATATTCTTTATGTTTTGGAATAAAAAAATACATTAAACATTACTAGTATAATTAATAGTCACATTTTTAAAAGCTTGTCATGACGTTTAGTATTATGTCAGATTATTAAAAACTGACTTACCTATTTTGTTGTTAAAACAGTTCAAAGATTCAGTTTCAGAAGTTTTAAATTTTTTGATAAAACAAAGATAAAAAACTAGGATCTAAAGAAAGAAAGAAAATATGAGAGAAAAAGTAACTTAAAAAATATTTAGAATTTTTTTTTAGTAATATGACAGATCATTAAAAATTTCTTGTTAGATCAAGATCAATTATAATTCCATTAGTAAGTTTTCAATATTTTGACAGAATATTTTTTTGGGAGTCTACTTTATTTAATCTTAATATTTGAGAATACGATATACATTTTTTGCTTAATTTTTCAAAATTACTTTATAGATAATTATCATTTCATCTATTGATGATATAAATATAACGTTTTTAATGGATTCTCTTTTAATGGACTATAGTCCTAATGTTACAAGAAAATACTAAAAAAGCGTTAATAAAATCAAAATTATATATCAAAATTATTATAAAAATGAGTAGAGAAAATGGATTGGGGGACAAATCAAGATATAAAATAAAAAGTTAAAGAAAGGGCTAATATTAAATATAGTTAACAAAGATAAATTAAATAACTTTCAGAAAAGAACTTAAGAAGGGAAAAGTAAGGGAGTAAAAGAAAATATCCGCAAAAAAGATAATAATGTCAAAAAAGTTTTAAAAAAGATTAAAAAAAATGAAAAAAAAAATCTACTTACATTTGAGGACAAAATCATCATATTAAAAGCCACAATAAAGTAATTTTTCTAACTCTACGGCACTTACTAAGAACATAGTACACAAATCGTTCCGCCGAAATATTTGCAGTAGTGAACACAATATTAATCCAAAAAGAGCATAAGAACTAAACACAACTTTGTTCCTCTCAATCCATATTCCACAAAAAAACTCTATTTTAAACAGTCTTTTCTAACTCGAAGATATCGTATTCTTTTTCTTCTAAAACGAAAAAAAAATCAAGTTTTCGCTCGAGCGCCTAATTTGACTTATATCTCGCGACGTAAATCTACGCTTAGACTCCGTTCAGTCAAAATTTCATGGCGCGCTGCCTGAGCGACGGACGGTCGGCGACTGACTCAACACTGAAATCGACTAATTTGATCGGCTTTAAGCGACGCAGAGTCTCCTCGGTGTGTCTGTCTCCGTCGGGTTCACGATCGCCGTCGATCTTCTCTGTTGCGGCAACGCTGAAACTGAAGAACTGAAAAAGTGGGGGTGGACGGATGGATTATTAGTCGGGTTTGATTAGGCGATTGTGGTCGGAGGACCGCGGCACGAGCCAGGTCGACAGGGATCTCTCTGGCGGTTCGGGTGGTTTTGGAATAGCTATGGTTTGTTAAGATTAAGGTATTCAGTATCCTGTCTTCAAATGACAACAAAAAATAAATAAACTTGTTCAACTTATCAGGTAGATTGTATGGAAGGACGGAAGATAATCACCACGACTTTATAGATCTATTGTGTCCTCATTTATTGCGTTATAAATCATCATACAGTTTCAGGGCTTTGATAAAAAGCCAGTATCTCAAACGGTTTTACAAAGGTTAGTTCTCCATATTCGATAGTAATCGTACCAAAGTTTATGGCACAAATGGTTGTCGTCTCGACGCTCTCAGTGATGAGGTGTTCTGGTGTTTTCCAATTTTCCCCAGAGAATATGCATTCGCTGTTTTTTCTCAGCTTCAATCTACTGAACCCCGTCACAATCAACCCTGTTATTTGTATAATGTTTTGTATTCTCTTTTGTTTGTTACTTTGTTTGTTTAGTTTACCTTTGTCTACAAATTGTAAAATTTGTTGACAATAAAGGCATTTATTTAATCTGAACATTGTTCTTACTTAAATCAAGAAAAATTATTGCTTTTTCTCGGTCGTAAGTTCTGAGAAATTTCTTCGAGTGTTTTAGACCGTTGAGGATTTAAATTCCAGGTTACTGATGATGGAGTCTTCCAGGTTCTTCAGTTCCACTTGGGAAGCAGAACGGTTCCTGTCCATTTAGTGGAGCGTTTGCTCCTTTTCTAGCTAGATCGTTTGTTTCTCATTACCTTCTATCCCTTGGCTCTAGCGCTTGGTGGGCAGAATACCAAACGTGGTTGCCATATTGTTGAAATTTCAATACTTTTCAATACTTAATACGATTGCTAAAGATGTCATTATAATTTGGTATAAAAATGTTATAAAGCTTGGACCACACATGGCTTGTAATTCTGTGTTTATGTTCATTAAGTCGTACAATATGAGCGTTGCAACTTTACCTTAAGCTGGAAACGAGGGTCACAAGAGTAATAAAAAGGCAGATGAAATAGCTAAGCAATGCCATTAATAAGTCGTAAAAGCTATCCGCTAGAATTGCCGTAAAAGCAAACACAAAAACGGTTAGAAAACAGTGGACGACCAAAAGCTCTTCAGAATGGTGGAGAAACTCACAGGTGAAAAAGTTCATAGTAGAAAATTCTCAAAACCTTAGGGCAGACCTGGGCCCGAATTCTGTAACTTAGAAAATGCTTTTGACGCTCAGCGTATATGACCTTAATTTTCGCTTAGCGTGCACTTAACTACCGATTAGGGTATTCTCATCTGACGGACGCGCTTAGCGTCTTTATTGATTATGCTAAGCGATTCGAAAACGGCTACCTTAAAGCATCGTTTTGCTTGTCGAACTGTCAATAAAAATAGAAAAAATTGGGCGTTCTATTGCTCTTTAGTGAAAATTACTTCTTCTATAAATTAATCAATAAGGTAATTGATAATTTGCAACTTGGCAGCTATAAATATTGTTCAAAACATCGAAAATGCTTAGAGGCGTCTTCAAAAAAAAAGTTCACATAACTCTAAAATAGGTTATGAAATTCACGTAACATTGACATTTTTCCATTGTTTTATCCACATTTGACTATTAGATACTTGAAAAATAATTGTGATGCTGCCAATATGTGCTCAACGCGTATCCAGAAAACGATTCGCACGGCAACGAAAACCAAAGTCGACTGCTTTGCGTTCCTCTAATCGAATACTTTCGCTTATCGCTTTGAAAGCGTAACGTTTTTATGTCAAAGTTACAGAATTCAGGCCCTGATAAGGGGAAAACTGACAGTTTATTGTAAGGTAGGTCTACCGAGAGTTCATTGTAAGTTTAATATGCATCTAAAGCTGATGGGACTGATGGACGAATTCATGTGTAAATTTTATCAATCTGAAAAAAGGTAGAAGGCATTTTATGTCTTGCGACAGCCTGGCAAATGTGTGGTTCCTTATTTGGGCAATGAGAGGCCATTGACAAAAAGCTATATGGAAGGTTCAGACTCTAAGTTGCTAGACTTTTTGAAACCAATAGGATTGGAGAATGTAATCTAGAATCAACCAGAATAGATCTGAAACGGTTGCAGTAAACAGGCTGATAAACACCTCAAAATGAGTAAAAATCTATTAGATTAGATTTTGAGGTGTTTATCAGCTACCAACTAAAGAAGACACTAAAACTCACGATACCCTAGACAAGGAAAGAGAGTCTCTCTTTCCTTCTCTAAGGACAAAATACTCGAAAGCTGAACTGCGCAACCGCGGTCTACGTCAAACTCAGCTGAACTTTACGGCTGATCGCTGATGGACTTCTAAACAACGGAAGTTTTATAAATATCAGAGTAAATATGGCCCTATTTAAAAACAAAGTTAAAAACTCATCAGCATTCCTGTATTTTTAAATAATACAAAAAATACAAAAAGCACTTTAAAGAAGATTTACGATTTGTGTTGTTTCACTTAATTTTGTGAAAAACACTATAATAAGAAGAAACGTATTATTTGCCCACTGTGTACTCTAAATATGGTAGTCTGTATAGTTTCTGGAAGTTGCAGTATATTGCAACAACCATGAAGTAAAATTGATAATGGAAACGCATATCTTTGCCTATGATTTTGCTACAAAGGAAAGTTAAACTGTGTTACGAAAAGCAGAAGATCAAGATAAATTATGCATTCGCCAAGTCAAGAAAATATAATGACTATGTGGAAAAAACTAACAAATGTTATTGTACTCATAGTAGCAAGTAATCAGCCAGGTAGGTAAAATAGAAATGAAAAAAAACTCTATGCCAAATAGTCTCTTTTTATTTTTAGGAGACATCAGCAATTGTTCTAAATGAACAGAGAAGACCAGTAGTTCAATAAAAAGGCCATATAAATGAGCCATAAAATAAAAGGAAAATGGATAAGCAAGAATTATTCCCAACAAAGTAAAAGAGGTTATTTGTCTAAGGCTTTATTTATTTTGTTTTTGGTCTTACTTAAGTAAATATGTATTGACTGCTGGTTAAGGATTTTATATTTATTTTGTACTACTTACTACCTGTACCATGTGGTATAGTTTATTATTAAAATTATTGTATTTTATTGTTGTAAATTATTGTATTTTATTGACATAGAACACCCATAAGTTTCTTGCAGTTTCTTCTTATAGACCGTAATCAAAACTGCAACATTCTGATAAAATTAGAACTATAAATTTGTTTTTTTTTATTCCTAATATGTTACAGTAATTAAGCTAACAAATTTTTCCAAAACGTTTATTTTCCCATGAAAATGTGATTCAATTTAAGAATGGATATTTTAATAAAAGATTTCAACTTGATTCGGAACATAATATTTCTCTGCCCTGTACTGTATTACAATTTTTCTAACCAATCTTCATTCGTATGTAGGTCGGTTATATATTAGGTGTTATATATTATATCATATATAATGATAATTGATAATAATTAGAGTAGAATTCGAGAATAATGAGCTCCCTTCAAGTAAAGCTATGGTTCTCACTTATGCATCAAATTAGATAGTGATCATGCAATCTGTAAATGAAACAATTTTTAATTTACACCAATAATCAATGCAACTTTGACTAAAATCACTTGATGTAGGCAATATAGGTATATTACCTCTTACATTTCGTAACTTTAATGATATCTGTATGTTTTAAAAATAAATATATGAATGCAGATCAGTTTTTAAATATAGCCACATAATGTTCAAAATTCCCGCAAAGCGCTTCTCGCCGAACAAAACCGAACTCTCCGTGTAGGATCCGAATGCTTCCGAGGTTTTCGTGAGTTTTAGTGTCGTCTACCAACTAATACCCACAGATTTAACAATCGCCCATTGATACAATAAAACAATTCAATTAATGTAACTTATCTTAAAGTTGCAGGACTGCATGTTAAAGTAAAAATAAAAAAAAACCTTCAGTTCAGCATAACCGTATGACTTTTAACAATTTTTTAATAGGTACCGTGATTGAAACACGGTATTTTACGGCCGTCTTCTTCCGCTAAACGTTTTATTTCATCGATAAATCGCGGGGTAATAAATAAATTGCGAAAAAATCGGACCGGATTAACGCGGAATACATTAACCTTTTCTTGCGATTCTCCGGTATCGGACAAAATGCCGCGTCCGTCCGCGTAAACCAGCCAACATTTAGAGGAATCTATCCCGGCTGTCGCTTTCGCTTCCTCGGCTCTCTAATTTATCGATCGATTCACAATTTGTTTCGCTAGAGGTTTATCGATCGCGCTGGACATCGAGAAATGGTACGATGCGACGTTGAGATGAACCGCCTATTTAAAAATATACATATTCTTTTAAATTTAAAATATTTAGTTTTAAGACACTCTGTATAGATAAATAAAATTATTGCTTTTTAAAATATTATTCACCAACTAGGGAGAGGGAAATCAGGCGACCAACAGAGATGATAGTTGTTAAAGAATAGCTTTTACACTACCATTCGAGACGCATTGATGTTACTTTTGGTTCTTAAGTTTGGTGACAAAGAATTGTTATTAAAGGTAAAGTAAATGTTTTCTCATTATTTATAGTACTATTCTTTTAAAAGTTCCTCAATATGGCCGACCTAGTTACGAAAATTGGTAATTTTTTTTTAATGAAAAATAAGTTGGCGTTAGAGAATTCAGAAATTGATTTACTCTTTGGTTAACAATAATATTTCTCAGGATTGTCAAGTTGACGTTAAAGTTAGGTTATTAGGTGGTTGTCATAAAT